TGACAGCTTTGCCAATCCAGTCTGCAATGAAACGCTTGGGCACAATGTTAAAGCCACTGCATACACAATACATCAAAAGAACCTGAGCAGGCAGCAAACCATGGCTTTTAGCTGTGTGCTAGCACATCAAACACGTAAGCATTAAAACAGACAAAAAAGGGCCACAGTTGGGCACATACTTGATCAATGAGAACTTTTACCAAGCAAACACTTGTGGCCCCCCCGGTGCTTCAAAATAGAACACAGTCGCTAATTGGAGCCTAGCTAATAGCCTGCAGCGCCTGAGTCACAGCAGAACTATGTCAACAGGCACTTGGATGTGAACAGTGAAATGAGGTAGAGCAGAAAGCAGCTTGCCTGCCAGCTCTGTGTAGTTAGTGTAACCTGCACACACACACACACACACACAGGGGAGGCCATGCAGTCCAAGTCATGTAGAAATCCCCCAGGAGGACTGCCCTCGAGTGGCCATTCTCACATCACCTCACTCTGCACTTAAGGAGGAAAGTGGAGAATTGGAGAGGAGATGAAATGGTCTAATTAAGACTATTTTGGGTAAAGGACATCACAGTTGAAAGACCACTTGCACTGGCCATCTCATCAGGGACACGCACACCTCCAGAGACGAAGTGAGGTTTGAGTGAATAGGCTGACTCAGCACAGATTAATGGTCACACACCTTTAAAAACCCCTTAAGAGTTAAGTGGGTTCACACTGGATGTGTTTTCTGTGGAAGGGGGGCCTCTTTTGTATTTCCAATGGGTGAAACTTGCTCTACTGCTGTTTTTGGACCATGTTTATGCTCCTTGTTTTTTGTGTGAAGCATTCAGGCGCCCCAAGTTGAAAAAAAGGTCAACTTTCATGTAATCTATGCTATAAGTGATTTTTTTCTATGCTGACCTATCAGAACAACCTAGATAGTGAACATATATCGGTCTGCTGGCTTGACAAGGTCGGCACCCCGCTGACTGTTTACCACTGCTGGTCCACTCTCGGACCAGCCAGATTACCGTCCTGCATACAAGCTCTAACTAGTTTTTAATCTCCTCAAACAGATTTTAAATGCACAGAGCCTTTTATTTTGGAAAATACATTAAGACAAATATTACAAACAACTGAGGGAGAACAAAAATAATGACTAGGCCTGATATCGATTTTACAGACACTGTGCTAGATTAAAATTATTTGCAAAACTAATTTACAAAGTATAGCAATGATCAGTGGAATTTTGTCTAATACTCGGCTTAACCACTGCTGGGCTGCCCAGAGAACGCTGAGCAAAATGCCAGTGGACCGCCAGCCATCAGCTTTGGCCCAACTATTCTTTTGCTATCAGGGATAAGGAAGGTGGGCATTCACTGACAGTCACAGTCGCTGAGCACCTTGAACTGTGTGATGTCCCAGAGCAAAATCAGCACCACGTAAACAAAAAAAGCAGCTTTTGTTTAGTTCAGCCTGTTCATGCTAGCAGAACCACATCATGATTCAACTATTTAAGTTAGGGGTGTCAAACTCAACCACTAAAAGGGCCAAAAAATCTCAGTGAATCTGTGGGCCAGCTGCGTATTTATTTCATTTTTACTTAAGATTTTGCCGTGACCTGAACAGACTATTGTTTATTCAAAATACGCCCAAACTGCAACAGCATTTGTAACAGCATAAGGCATTGAATACTTATTCTAAAATAATTCTAAATAAAAATATATTGTTTTAGGTGTTTTAAACTGCCTATTTGCTTGAACTAGACACCAGGCATCTTTTCTTTTTGCGTAACTGCAGGTCCACAGATTGTTGTAGGGGAAAGGGGGTCAGAGGACACATTATGTTGCAGAGCATGCTGGGGACTGTAGTGCAGCTCAGGGTCAAACAGGCAAATGTTAATAGAAAATTAAAATAATTTTGTGGGCCGAATAGGATTGTAGGTCTTGTGTTTGGCACATGAGATTTAAGTATTTAGCTTTTACAAGTCTCAGTTATCACAGACAAAAGTAATTGCAAAAGTATGTTAAAATGTTATATGAATTATTTCGCATTCATATCTAATTGAAACAAGTGAAGAAACTCACTCTTAATACTTTCAATTCATACCATATTTGTGATTGTAAATAGACAAGGATATAGTTTAGGATTCAAATCTGATGAAAAGCTACTGTTGTGCAGAAAGAAAAATACCCTCTATGCAGACATGCAGACATCTGCACAGAGATACCCTGAAGGGGCTTGAGCGCTAGCACTTAGCCTATACGAGTGCCCTCTCAGTTCATGTGCATATATACACTGATCAGGCATTATGACCACCTCCTTGTTTCTACACTCATTGTCCATTTTATCAGCTCCACTTACTATATAGGTGCACTTTGTAGTTCTACAGTTACAGACTGTAGTCCATCTGTTTCTCTGCATACTTTGTTAGCCCCCTTTTACCCTGTTCTTCAGTGGTCAGGACCCCCATGGACCCTCACAGAGCAGGTACTGTTAGTGGGGTGGATCGTTCTCAGCACTGCAGTAATACTGACGTGGTGGTGGTGTGTTAGTGTGTGTTGTGCTGGTACGAGTGGATCAGACACAGCAGCGCTGCTCGACTTTTTAAACACTGTGTCCACTCACTGTCCACTCTATTAGACACTCCTACCTTGTCAGTCCACCTTGTAGATGTAAAGTCAGAGACGACGGCTCATCTGCTGCTACATCGTTTGTGTTGGTCATCCTCTAGTTCTTCATCAGTGGTCACAGGACGCTGCCCACAGGACGCTGTTGGCTGGATATTTTTGGTTGGTGGACTATTCTCAGTCCAGCAGTGACACTGAGGTGTTTAAAAACTCCAGCAGCACTGCTGTGTCTGATCCACTCAGACCAGCGCAACACACACTAACACACCACCACCACAATGTCAGTGTTACTGCAGTGCTGAGAATGATCCACCACCCAAATAGTACCTGCTCTGTGAGGGTCCATGGGGGTCCTGACCACTGAAGAACAGGGTAAAAGGGGGCTAACAAAGAACGCAGAGAAACAGATGGACTACTGTCTGTAATTGTAGAACTACAAAGTGCACCTATACAGTAAGTGGAGCTGATAAAATGGACAACGAGCATAGAAACAAAGAGGTGGTCATAATGTTATGACTGATCAGTGTATAGTCACTGTCAGTGGCTCAGCGTGTGGGAATGCAGGGTATGAGTTTGAATATGGGTCCATGAATCACCTCTGTGTTTTATGTTATCACTGCAAAATTGTCACTCAGCATTTGCTGCAACTGCATTAAATTAAACCCAGAATAAACCCAGAGAAAACCCACAAAAAGTCATAGGAGGTGACGTGTGGAGTTTATATGAGAAAGGCTGTGAATCTATAGTTTTTGAGATAAACAGACAAATGTTGACCATCTGTTACCTCAGCTAACAACACCAGCCCAGTTATGTCTTCATTATATATATTGGTTAGATATTACTTCATACCAAAAGCTAAAAGCTTAAAAAGTATGTAAAGAGTTAGCTTAGTTATCTAGAATACTTGTTTTACAAAGTACAGACTAACCAACTGTTTCGAACGGTTTTGCCTCTTTCCTTTAAAACCTGCATCTGCTGCATGTAGCACTTCAGTTCTGTCATTCAGACTGAAGGCTTTCCTAAAAAGAAAGACTCATTATTTAAAGTCGTGTCAAAGCAGACAGGTTTTTAGTCAGGTTTACTTCTGTACAATGTAATGACTGCAGCAAATAATGAGACTAAACTAAAATGATCTACTAAAGACTCGAGGCTCAACGCACACTTAAACTACAGTCACTACAGACTTGAACCCCAGTACCTCCAGGCTCAACTCAAATGTGTGACCCAAGGCTCAACTCTGACTCGAAACCCCAGAGACTGGAGACTCAACTTGTACTCAAACCCCATAGACACAAGACTCAATTCGGACTTCAACCCCAGAGACCTGAGAGTCAGCTCTGACTTAAACCCCAGAGACTGGAGACTCAACTTGTACTCAAACCCCATAGACACAAGACTCAATTAGGACTTGAACCACAGACACTCGCGACTCAACTCTGACTCAAACCCCATAGACTCAAGACTCAATTCAGACTTGAACCCCAGAGACTTGAGACTCAACTCTGACTCGAACCCCAGAGACCTGAGACTCAACACAGACTCAAACCCCAGAGACTCAAGACTCAACACGGACATGAACCCCAGAGACTTGAGAGTCAACTCTGACTTAAACCCCAGAGACTTAAGACTCAACTTGTACTGGAACCCCAGAGACTCGAGACTCAATTCGGACTTGAACCCCAGAGACTTGAGACTCAACACAGACTCGAACCCCAGGGACTCGAGACTCAACTCTGACTCAAACCCCATAGACTCAAGACTCAATTCGGACTTGAACCGCAGAGACTTGAGACTCAACTCTGACTCAAACCCCAGAGACCCAACACTCAACACAGACTCAAACCCCAGAGACTAGATACTCAACTCTGACATGAACCCGAGTAACTCCACACTTGACTCGAGACCTGGCTTAATCCCCAAACAACTCAGACTCATATGAAGTGACTTGTGAATATCTCTGACTCCTAAAACTACATTTACCTTCCTCTGAAACATGATTAGACTGTCTTTTTGATAAGACAGTCTGCCATATGCTGTAAATTCAATAAAATTTCCATTTGCATTAAGGTTTGCCCTTCGTTTCTCCCCTCCAGCCCCTGCCTCCTAAAAAGATCTGTGCACAGGCCTGGATGAATGTTAATTTAATTCATTATATAACTAATTATGCAATTAATTATGCAACTGCATTTCAATAATTATGTGAAGTAAACAGAGCGCACAGCAAAACAACCATAATAACTAGATTTTTAAGGGTTAGGCAGTAAAGACAGCAGGAGGCTGACCTCAGAATCCCTCACAGGTGAAGTGTGTCTAATATAACAAAACTGTTGCATGCCGCACTTGCTTCGACGGCGAGACGACGGGCTGTCAATTAAATTCCCGCTTACTTACACAACTGACACGATATCCCCGCGCTGCACCTGATAGTTCCTCACACTCCAGCGGTTGAGAAGCACAACATCAGGCGCTGAGGCTCCCTCCGGGTTCAGCGAGGGCTGGTGGGGAAAGGTAAACACGCCTTTTAGCACACACTCACCGCTCCGCTTCAGCAGCCTGGAGATGAGCCAGGACACAGCAGAGACAGAGGGGGCTTGGAGAAGACCCTTTATCTGTCATTACGCATCTGTTTTGTCTTTTACAAACAGGCAAATTGTCTGAGCTTATTTAATTCTTGCACTCTCAGAATTATAAAACTGAACAAAAGTAAGTCATATAGTGTCAGAAAGCACATAAGCAAGTCTATTAGAAAACAGTTACCACTTTAATTTATTTAATGTCCAGTCAAAACAGCTATTAAGTACAAGAAAAAAGCAGAAAACATATTTAACAGAAAATTACACTTAACAATTAATCGTCATTTTTTCAGTATTTTTTGTGTTCACCCTTTGACTTCATTACAGCTTCCATTCTTTTCAGAACACTTGCTTTCAGTTTTTTACAGAAATCTGCAGGGATGTTTTTCCACATCTCTAAAGTTCAGTCTTAGAAGTTGGTTGCATTTTCTGATAAAAATAAAATAATAAAAATAATCCCAAACACATTCAATGATGGTCAAGTCTGGACACTGTGATGGTCAGTCAGAGAAAACTAACAGCTTCTTTTTTTGATTTGCAGATGTTCTTTTTATCTATTTTCTTTTCTCAGTAGTTGTCTTCTCACAGTGGAAGGATGGACAGAAACACCTGTAGATTTTTTTTCCAGATCTGAAGCAGCTTGATTTTCTCCTCTCTCTCAAAGATGAAAGCTTTAAGTGCTGTTTATCTGATGGGGACAGTTTTGGTGGTACGGTTGTTAGAAATCTCATTTTCCTTTGAAATCTTTTATTTTTTAAACTCCAGTTTTAGGAAGTCCTGTTTTTTTCCCCACTTATGTTCTTTTGACTCTCCTTATATGAAGGTGAATTATCTTGTATCTAATGCCCTCAGAAATAAATGAATTACAATGTACTGAACGGCCTCTTCAACTAGAAATTAAGTAAATGAAGGGCTTGAGGAAAGTGTGCTGTGTGATTCAGGCACTAAACATATCTTAACTGATTGACTGTATTCGGGAAAAGGGGGGGGGCGGATTGTGTACATCTGAGTTTTCGCCATATCATTTTAAAGCCCCCCTGTCAGGACGTTCTCTAACAGCCCCCGGATTAGCTGTGCTTACCTCAGAGCAGACAAAGGGCACATACTGCACATCTTAGCTTCTGCACTGTTATTTGAAAGTCTCTGTTGTTAAAATTCCTGTCAATCACAGTGATCCCTGTTTGTTTGGAATGCAGTAAGGATCTGAATTCCTTATGGAAGTCTGGTCTAGCAGTGCTATATAATCCATAAGACATGCACATACTAACAATAACGTCGAGAACTCTTAAAAAAATATAATACATTGCGGTTTGTTTTTCTCTTTGTGACAGCATATCAAACAACTTGTGTGTGACGAAAGACTCTGGAGCATGGGAGCAGGCTGATATGACACACAGGCATCCGATGAATCATTAAGCCAGATCTCTGCGAGTCATTTCACGCTTGCCGGGATAATTGACAGAATATCTCTTATCTGTCTTTCTAAAATAAATATCCTGACGAGAGCTCCCGGCTGGGGAATTTATCTGTCACAGATGGCTGCTCTATCGTTTTTATTCAGACATACTCTCCCCATTCTGAACCGGTGTCAGCTTTCAACATTGTCCAAGGAGTTTGCTTCTCTTTTTTTTTCCAATTACTGCATGAATAGGCAGCGAAGAGCTATTAACAAATGAGATGTTATAAATGGACGTGTGAAGCCACAGACGAAAAAGCAGAGAAGAGCTAAAAAGGGTGGGGTGGCAAAAGCACTCGCCGAAGTGGTTATTAGGTAGACAGTGAAGCTCTACATTTAAACTCATTTATTAAATGTTACACAATAAACATTTATTCTCTCTTACAGTTATCATTAGTTTCTGGTTTCTGCACTCCAGTGTGCTCCATGCACACTGATGAAGCAACTCGTGGTTTGGAATTGCTGGACACTAAAATACTTTTATTAAATAAACTGATTAATTAATATGTTAATACTGTCTATTACTTCAACATATTGCTCTGACATCACAACCCTTTGGTGAATGGCAGACAATCAAGAAGCAACCATTTTCCTACACTGTGAAACCTAACTGCACATCTTAATGAAGGAATAAGTTAACACAACTTAAATACTTGGACTGTGGGAGGAAACCGGAGTATCCGGAGGAAACGCACACAGACACGGGGAGAACATACAGAAAGGACCCGGGTTGCCCGGCCGGGGAATCGAACCTGGGCCCTTCTTGCTGAGACAGCGCTACCCACTGCGCCTAGTCAAAGTAACTTTATCTGAAAAATTCGAAGTAACTCAAAAATGAATTACTTAGATAACTCATTTTGTGTAAGATAATTTTTTAGCATATTTTGAGTGACGGTAACATTATTAAAATGTATTCACTATTTTTGTTTTTTGTTTTTGTTTGACTATAGTGAACGAGAGACTACTTACTCGATACGTTTAGTCCTAGTTTTAGCCGTTTCGGAATTACCTACGCTAAAAGTGATGGTTGCCAAACACATGAAATAGTCTTGTCTGCCTATCAGGAGTAGCTGGTCTCCTCAGCACAAGCGAAATATGTTCTAATGTCAGTTGATTTAGTGGTTGAGCTACTCTGTATCAGTGAATTTATCTGATAGACTGAATAATGTTCACATTTAAATGATTTGGACTGTTTGTACTTTTCTCCTAACTTTATTTTGATGATTTCAGACACTCAAATGAGATCTTTGAGTTGAATTGCAATTTAGTTTCGAATTCTCAGCTTTACTTGTTTGGTCAATGCAACCTTCTTGAGTAAAACTCACATCACTCCTTTTGGCTCTTGGTACCATGTATTTGCATACTGTGCGTGTCTTTACACCTTGTTTACCCTTCCTTCTGTGTGCTGTCATTCTCCCCAGCCCACCTTCCCTTGGGTGTCTACTTGTTTTCCAAATGAATGTAACTCATTTCAGTCAGTACTGACTGAAAATTAGTGTTGAGGGAGCTGAGTTACCAAGTTCCCACCCGCTGACTGTGGTTCTGTGGTGGCTAAACGCCACAGGGAGTACTTCTGCACTCTGGGCTAAACCGTTGGCAAGATGGTCCACAGTAACATTAAGTTGGTGAAGGCATTGTTATGAATGTATATTATTATCAAGTTTCAGTATGAATTTCTTACAATGACTGCCTAGTTTAGCCTAGCAGTAAATTTAATTTACAATTACTTAACTGTATGGAGTTATAAATACTCAATCATTTTAATTTTAACAAAATTAATGGAGTTAGTACAATTAACTCAATTTACTTAAGTATATGAAACAATAAACAAATGTTTGTGTTCATACTCCATTCAGGAAATAATTTATGGTCAAATGATTTGTTATTTAAACGGTTTAAGGCGATCGGTTTCCTAGAACCATTTGAGGTGACTTGGGTGTGAATATTAATGAAAGCTCCTGAAATCTTGTGTAGTATCTGAGTTTGTGGTTGCATGAATTTGGAGAGCGCCCCACCTGCATGGAGGCACCGTCCACTCGCGCTACATAGGCAAGCCGGTCCAAAACAGTCACCGTCACGGGAACTGCTACGAAAAAGCCGCTAACAAAAGCTCTGATATACCTCCGCCCGAGTCCTGCTTTCTGAGCCATTATCTGCAAAAGAGGGACGCTTGGTTTTAATATAACAGCATCTGTAAACAAAGACGGGCTATTTATTCACATTTCCATGGACTACAGGGTGCACATTTTTGCCAAAATTCTGACTAAAATGACTACAACTATTATCTAACCCTTATAATCATAGGCTTATTACACTCTACAGCATATTGTTCAGTAAATAAAGGAAAAACAATTCAACCCAGCTGAGTTATTCTTAAAACTGGACTGCAGTGATTTTTTTTTTTTAATTACAGCATAATTCAACCACTGAGACGTAAACACAGTCATGCAGAGTGGTTTGATGCAAAATGGCTCATTGTAGAAATACTTACAGGCTCTGATTATTTACAGTGGTGGTGACAGGAACCTGGTGTAGCTGCATCTACAAAAACAAACAGCTATTTTATGTACTACGCAAAATGGTCAGTGAACCTTCACACGCTGAGCTTTCATATGTAATGCTGATAAATGGTAAAATAGTGGTACGTTTGAAAAACTATGTTTTATTTGGGGACTGATCTGCCTTACAAGATCCTCTTATGTTTTAGGCCAAAACCTCAAAACTACCATGGAACATCGTCTAAGGCATCAGGCAGAGTATTCAAAACCATTTACACCGATCAGGCATAACATTATGACCTCCTTGTTTCTATGCTCATTGTCCATTTTAGTACTTTGTAGTTCTACAGTTACAGACTGTAGTCCATCTGTTTCTCTGCATAATTTGTTAGCCCCCTTTTACCCTGTTCTTCAGTGGTCAGGACCCCCATGGACCCTCACAGAGCAGGTACTATTTGGGTGGTGGATCATTCTCAGCACTGCAGTAACACTGACATTGTGGTGGTATGTTAGTGTGTGTTGTGCTGGTATGAGTGGATCAGACTCTACGCTCATTGTCAAAGGACAATGAGCGTAGAAACAAAGAGGGGGTCATAATGTTATGCCTGATTGGTGTACAACTTTCTGTGATGAAACTTTTAGAGGCATTAAGTGTTTGGGACGTCTGGTTCCTGTCACCACCACTGTGCACAATATAGTTATGCAGCAATTTTGAAAAATTGTTGGAATTTCCCTTTAAGTTAAAGGAATGAGGAATGGAAACATTGACCCATTGACAGCTTCTGGCCATTTGGGGTTACATGGATTTTTTTTTTTGGTAAAATAAATAAAATTTCTGCCCAAGTACAGACCTAAAATCAAACGCACAAACATTTGTACATTTAAGTGTGTGTGCGTATCTTGATAATGATTCCTACCAGGCGGCTGACCGGCAGCCTTTCATGTATTGTTCTAGTTCATTGTATTCGAATAATGACACATTCTTTCACATAAACAGAAAACATGGTATTCCGGAGGTCGGAACCCCAACCTGAAAGAACAAACCGCCTTTAAAAACATTTTGTTTTCTTCCTTGGAAAGATAACAGTTCCTGCTTACAGAGAACGCTGCTTGCTGTGGGGTAGAACAGACTTGCCAATTAAGGCTGTCCTCTGTTCAACTGCATGGCCTCTGGCTTATGCCAGCTTGATGCAACAAAACTAATTAAAAGGGTAAGTGAGGAGCAAGATTACCTAACTAACTGCTGATTACCTCCCTTTAACAACAGTAATGTTACAGCTGTGGCCTTTTGGGCAAGGTCACTGTAGCCCAAACGAGCATGGCCCAACACCAAAACGCCATCTTAACAGGCCACTGCATAACAGGATGCATTAATAGCAAAGACACCACTACTACTAATAAACATGTTTAATAACAAGTCAGTTATTTTTATTTTAGATTTTCATTTAACTTTCAGTAAATAAGCGTCAATGTGGTATCACATTTACTATTTATGTGATACTAAAGATGCCACTCTAACTCATTACTGCATGGTGTTGCCATAAGGCAACAAGCATTTTTTCTTTTTTTTTTTTCCTTTTTGGCAAAAAAACGACAACACAAACGTTTTTTTTTCTTCTCCTAAAGTTTAATTGTAAAACAGTGTATTATTTTCTCCTTATCTGCCTTTGTGCTTCACAGGCACACGTCAGGCCTGGCTTTTGAAGTGTTCTCAAAATGTGTGCATAACATAACCTAATTCAGGAAAAAAACAAACACATCTGCAGGAAGCAAACATTTCTTTTTCACAAATAAAACCAATTCAGATGTTACAGGTTTTGATAAATTAATAAAAAACAATAGATAAAAATGATAAAATATAATTGTTGCCTTATGGCAACAGCATGTGACTATGGCACTGTGATTTGCAATGCATACAATCTGTGACAATCCAGTACACTGTCATAGGACACAGTAATTTTCACATACATTTTTATATACCAAATTTACCTTAATCAATATATATTTATGTTTCTGCATTCCTAAAACCTATTCGCACACAGGGCTGTTTCACACAATTTTTTTTTCATGTCTGGATAATGAATATGGCTGTGTCCTATAGCAGTGTACTGGATTACTCCTATTGTACACTGTATAAAGTGGAACACTGCAGAGCTTTGGGGATTTAAAATGTTGATTTTGTTCATCTAAACTTAAATTTTGCTTTGCATTGTTTCATTTAAAGTATTTATCTGAGTTGAATCAAACCAGGTAAACTGTTTGTTCCTACAAGAAGTCAGTTCTTTAGGTTGAACTGATGATTTTTACAGTGTATTCATTATAGACAGTTCCTTTGTTACATGCTGTTGCCATATGGCAACAATATGCAAAGCAACCCCACCATTTTTTCTATTTGTATTAATTATGCCTTTTTAAAAAAGAAAAATCCTGAAAAATGGTTTTATTGCTTAAAAGGATGTAACACATTTTAACAACACACTTTTAATAATGTATAAAATTCATCTATTTATTTGAGATTTTTAATTGAGTTTTCAGTAAATAAGTAACAGTGAACAAGATTTGGATAAATTCCATTTATCACTTATATGATGGCAAATATAAATAACTCAAGCACTGTTCAGATATTTTTATTTTTCATTTAAACATTTGTAAACATGTAAGAATCTCGGACTTGGAAATATTCCATTTATTTCATTGTGTGCACACCAAAGCTTTTAACACTTCAAATATGTAAAAATCAGGTATTTTAACGCAATAATCAGCACATTCATAAGGAAATTAGATCATTTACATTTTAATCATGATAAGCTCTGAAAATGAGCGTGAACCTGAAAGCAGCCCGTGCTGGTTCGCCTCAGGAGTTATAAGAGTAGATGAAAACTCTGCTCTCCTGAGGAACTGAGTTGTTCTTACGCTAAGAAACACACTTGGTTAATGATGGAAAAGTCAGGGCAGCAGAGCGGAAAACCAATTCATGCGCATAAACCTAAGATGTCGAGAACACGTTGGCATTTTACACATCATTTTAAAACAAAACCCATTAGCCAGAGCGACGGCAAATACAGTACAAGAGAAACAATCAGAATTTTCCAGCAAAGCCCTGAAGGTCTGACCCACAGCTTTGCAGACACAGCCTGCTCTAAAGCAGTCTGACGGGCCTGAGGCTAACAGGCTTCAGACTGTCTCAAAGAGCTAAGTACAAAAATCAGGATAGAGATCTCAAAGATGGGAAAAGGAAAACTACTGAACTGACCAGCTGAACCAAATCCAATTCTGACTCTTTTGTGCACTATTGTCTGTTTTCTTGCACAGGGGGGCGCAGGCACAGCCTAAAGCAGGGTAACAGCTTCTTAAACGTAGTTAAAGAGATTTGAGCAGAACATGCTGTACGTCTTATATTCCCATAGCAACATCATCAGACAGATATTTCTCAAGATTGACCTTGAAGACTGTTTTTGTACCATAAAAGTAATTTTTATTGGTTACATAAGTCTCTTGACGACAGCAACGCTGCACCATTTTGAAGAAACAACTCAGTGAGAACTAGCCAGGCTAAAGTACCACAGGTCCACATGGCGGGGTTAGTTTAATACAGTGGTACAGCTAAGCTTCCCAAAGTAAACAATGAAAGAGGCCTGTTTTTCCCGGATATTATATCAAATCTGTTAATTTTTTTGTCATTTTTTTAATTCACAGATTCATCAAGAACATCAATAAAACATTAACCGTCAATAAAAGTCTAAATTACATTTGCTTCTGTTTCACACTGCCTCCTTTCATGAATCATACTTATTTTGGATGTGTATACAGTTGTATATGGCAGTCTGAACACCCTCTGGTCAAATTACATCTTTTGTCAATTTTCAGTCGAAGTAATTTAATACATCCTCTACAAATTTTAGTGCACAATTTTGTATTTATTTGCTGACTTTAACAAATTGGGAAAAAAAAACAAAATATAAATGTGCCATTACTTTTACACAGGCCACATTATGTTTTATATTGTCTTTCATTTATGTATGTATATATTTATGTGTTAACATATTTTCGCTAAGAAAATGAGACAGCTAAACTTTTGCATATGACTGTGTTTATAACAGTGTAGGTCACAAAGCTAGTCTACTTCAGAGAATATAGATTTGTGTTGTATGAATTGTGTTTGCGATTTTTAGCAGGATTTATATCGGCTGTTGCAAGTAGCCCGTTGCAGTAAACCCACCTACGGGGTAAGCTGTAACATTTGCACTCCTGCCACTTTCAGGTCTATCGTTAATGGCAGGTGCTCAAAACAAAGGTTCACATTTTCAATTGTAGAAGAGACAGTACATTGTTTATATATAAAAAATAGTGCAAATACTTTTAAAATTATTTAGCAATAACCTTAAAATACACAAATAAATTGTGTTAAGCTTTGCTGGATGCCATGGAAGAAGCACTTTCCCCTAAAGACCTTGTCAGTGGATGGTTTTTAAAAAACTCAATTTAAACCACTCAACTGAAAAGGTTTTTAGGGAACCAAAAGTGGTTCTTCTATAGCATCTCTAAAGAACTTTATCTTGGCACCTTTACCTTTTGAGAAGGTAGTTCTACAGTGATGGCCTACATCAGGCGTCCTGTTGTTATTTATGTCAGCTTGCTAAGGAGTTTTCCATCTCTAATGAGCAAAGTAGTAGGCGAATATGTGAGAGCTAGCAATAACCAGTGCTAAATTTGCTGTGGTGATATTCGGGTAACCCTGCCAAGTACCATCTGTCAGGGTGTTCTAACAGTAATCCCTTTCCAGAGCCTACTGTGAAATCTTCCTACTTTACCCCACAGCAACACGGGGGACTTTTCTCTAAATTTCCTTAGATGCTATTCTTGTTAATCTGCCCATGCTAATCAAACCGTACACATTCACATCATAGGCCCACATTCTGAAAGTGGTGGACTGGACTGGCGCCCAACTCGCATGCTATCAGTCTTAGCGGCGGAGGCTGAAAACCAGCATTCCAATTATTTATAGCTTATTCTTGTAACTATAAAGATAGCAGGTTATCACACAAATATCTTCTATCATAATAG